TTGGTGATCATTTGCAATTTTTGAGGTGCTTAGATTAGCAACAGTGTTTTGTTTTTTAATGAAAAAGTCACACAAGTTCAACTGTCTGCCTTCGCAAAATCTGCGGTAGTCATAGTCTAACCTGGCAGGCTTACAAGTTTACGAACAAGTTGGACATCAACCATTTTTGCTTGTAGGACGCGGGTATTAATCTTTCACGCTTACGGCAAAAATTTGATTTACTGTAAAATAGTATGTTCTTTCGTAGTCGAGGTTAGATAGGTTTATTTCTTGTGCTCGGATCAATAAAGTGCATGTTGTATGAAGGATGAAACAAATGTCCTGTGGATATGCACCCAAAGTAGGAGAAAGAATCTAATAGTTGATTTGTAGCGACGTTTGAGCCGATTGGATGCATCTGCTCCGCTACATATAGTCACAGAAATAGTGATGCAAGGACAACAGTGATTGGTCTCTACTATGTACGAGAGGAGTTTCGGTGAGTTCTATAAGCATTCAGGTTCTTTATCCCTTCCAAGACTTTTTTTAGTGGGAAAGGAATAGGAAATGAGCTCTTCAGAAGAATCATAGCCAATAAAAAAAACCACAACTTGTATCTAAATGCAAGTGAGTTTATTGATCACGGAAGTTTGTGAACTCGAAGTCACCTTTGTTCATGCAATTCTTTTTTCCTTTTGTAAATTTAACTTATCTTTCCCTGTTACAGTTTATAATATGGTGAAGAAATATCAAGTTCTCTACAACTTTGCCCTTGCCACACCTTGGCGAATCGTTTGGTACCAGGTAATCACACTGAGAACATTGAGAGATGTACGCCTTCTGTCAATAACTTCATTCAGTTTAATCCAAAGGATTTGTACCTGGAGGATTCAGAATGCACAAATGAAAAGAAAATTGATGTTACGCAGGTCTCCCACTTCCTAATGTCCTATGATCTTCGTCCTTGCGAATCTCCTTTTAGGTGACAGCAAATAACGTATCTCGTTTCTTAGAATACGACAGCCGTGTGCAGAATGATCTCGATCGAACTTCATATATTAAGTCATTTGCTATTCAGCCGTGCGCTGATTCGAAGGTTTGAATCTATCTATGTTACCAGACTCTCAAGTTTTTTTTTT